AAAATGTTTTCGGAGATAGAGTAGAAGGCTAGCATTGTCAAATGATCCTAGCCGAACATTGCGAATGTAGATGTGGAAGACGATTCTAGCAGACAGGCTTGCATAAATCGAGGTTTCAAGCTCCAAACTTAGATGCACCAAACGCAGACCAGTGTGTGCTAAGTTTGTGAGACGATCGCGTGCAAGCCCTACAGGCCTTGCATTCGTATGCATACAGTACTTGCCAGCAACCTGACATGGTGACTTATGCGATGCAGCTCGAGTAGTCTCATGTGGTTTATCACATGCAATTGGGTTGGGGTATTCTCTTGGCTCCCATGGGTGCATAGGGAATCCTAGCAATTTGTAAGGATCCTTAGAGGAGCCATCGCAAGATTGCTTGAAACATGCCTTAGGGCACATCTCGAGGAGGAGATCATGAGGCAATCGCATGGCTTCAAGGAACGCAACAGAATCACCTATCTTCTTCTTCTCACTTCAAAGCCCCATAACCGCTAAAGACCTCCCCCAAACCTTTGTACCATTCAGAAGTGGGTGAGTTCAACCCCTGGTAGGGGTGTTGAGTTCGGTTGAGGAGGTTGATGGCGATTATGTGAACCCCTTCATGCAATATCCTGTTCCAAACTCAGATAAGCAATGATTGGCCGGGGATCTCCTACAAAGTCCGTCATGAGGTTGTATCCAGAGGCAGCCGCAGTGCACTACGAGATGTGCAGGCTCGAGGCTCATGTGCCCATGGCCGATGGTTCATGCTCACAAATGTCTTGAAGATGGAGCTCCCAACAACGGACCCAAGTTGTCAAAGGAAGAGAGTGATGCGTCACTTACACGACTCTCCCAGACTATCGTACTGGGTGCCCGGCCTCACCATGAGCATAAACGCAATCTTCTCCTGCCCACAGGCTTGGTAAGCTGTAAATCCAGAGGCTGAGGTCCTCTTTTCCAGAACATAGTTGGAGCAGATTCCAAGTGTTCTACTCCTCTTGTTTGGATCTAGTACCGTCCTGCATGCCAGAGTTTCAAACGATGAGCTATCTCCAGGAGTGGCGAAACCATTGACATGTGTTCCTTCTTCATCTACACTTTTAAAGGAACTGCATGGGAGCCTTACTTAAGGTTTCAAGTGTGGGGCGGTCGAGGATCTTCTATAAACATGCATCATACACTCTATCTGTATGGGAAAGTGCAGCTAGGTTAACGGAAACAAATCACTCGTCAAAATGCCCAATCTCAACGACCATAAAAACTAGCCAGATCCCAGACGTTCCAGTGAGGTCCTGCTTAAGTGGCGGTGTTGAGAAACTCCATAAGCAAACAGTAACACAAGAAGACACGCCCAGAACTTAAAACCTTAAGTCCTTGACGCAGATCAAGCTTTTCAGCCGGATCAATCTTAACCCCGACGCTCTGGTTGAACACAGACTCCTCTGAATCCTTGGCCTTCCAAGAGTTTTACAGACAGCACTTCCAAAGACTCCCACATTGGCAAGCCAAAGCGGGGCTGATGACAGTCCTCGCATGCAAAGCCCATCAGCGAAAGCTTTGCACAGCTTCCTGACAGCGCTTTTTGGACGGGACCCATACTGTACGGACATGATTTTCTCCGAGTGGTTTGAGGTTTTTTGATCCCAGAAAACTCCAACACAGCACAGACTGCTTCCGATGCTAGGGACACTCCGTGTGTCTCAAAATCGCACCTTGCTGAAGCACCTGCTGCTATGTTAAGGCCTCTATACGGTGTTTCCATTGCCCAGCATCAATTGCGACTATGGGTGTCCTGACGTGACAGCTCAATTAGCACTAAGAGGACTACTCTCTACGAGTAACCACACAAGTAAATGGCAGCCTTATTATACATCAGTGTTCAAGCTTCATTGGTCGTGAGGGGTGACTCTCTGAGAGCAGTTCCGGAACTTCCACGCCCCGAAGCCCAAACTCAAGGATGATTGTATTCTCGACCGTAATCCCTAAACCGCTAACTCTACGCTCTCAAAACTGCACCTGACCCGCCCTGCACTCCGGACTATTAACCTGAACTCTAAACTAAAGCCTTCCGCCTTAACTTGAAAGCTCGAATGGAGAGTCTGTCGCGATCAACCAGATCTCCTCAGGATCCCCGTCATTATTACATATCCAGGTGCAAGGGAGGAAGTACTTTGACAACGTGAGAACTTCAAGAACACGCCCTCCACAGCTTGCGAAATCCTAATTTATGCCTGCTCAAGGACTGAAAACAAAACCCTTGGACTCTGAGGCAGGCCACTGTGCCCAATTGTAATTACAAATGTGCCTCAACATCCAGCTGGAGGCAAATGAATCCTGAACACCCAAACCAGAACCCTTTGCAGGCCCTATGCTCAGTGCGGCGCGTTTTTTGCAAATTCGGCTGCTTCCGAAGCTCATGCACTGAATGGGCGTAGCGGCAAGTTTTGCCTCAAGACTGCACTTTGGTCTGATGCTGTGGCCTTCCAGGTTTCAGAACTTTTGGTTTAAGATCTAGGTGGAGCAGCCAGTGTACAGCGACAAGAAGTACAGATGCCAAAGCATTGGGTACACATCCTTTCTTATGGATGCACGGTGCACCTTAGGTAAGCAGGTGAGGGTCCACGGTCCTATTCTTGCAGCAGGGGCCTTATATGTAGGCTCGGAACTTCCGGTCTATGATGCCCAATACTCTGCGTCCGAAACACCCTGAACCATAGAGTCTGTTTGCGCATGAGTCATGCCGCTCTGGCTTTTTGACTCCGTACTTTATACCTTCCTACCCTTAAAAGGGGGCCTTAACCTCTTGGTCCTGAAAGCTGAGGTCCAGGCTTGCGCACTTTCCTCGCTCAAAAAAGTAACACATCTTCCTCGGCTCGAGAGCTTCGCCTACCCCCGGTCTGCGAGTGGAGATCGTGGAAGGGTTTTTCTTACCTACCCCGGTTTGGGGGTTGAAGATTGTTCGGGTGGTCTTCTCCTTGGGGCTTTCCGTTTAGGGTCTCAGGGATTAGGGTTCGATGTTGTGGGCCTGTAGGGTGTTGAAGTGTGTGGTAGTAGAAGGCTCCTGCCCTGGAAAGTATTTGGAGAGCCTGGTGGCAACAGCTGGCAAGCCCAAGACTGAAGATCAATGCGCTCCTGGTGGGGCTGAGCGGGGAGCAGAACAGGATATCTTCATTACTCAAATTGTAGGACCCAAGCCGCAGACCCTCAAACTTTAACCCTGAAAGGGGCAAACTATTCAGCTGTGAGGCGTTTTCAGTAATCGCGCGGTAACCGCATTCTCGGGGCCCACGGGCACTTTCGGCACCTTCCAGCTGGTGGACGTCAATGCCCTGGAAAACTTCTTTGATTTAAGACCATCTAACGCGGCATGTGCGTCTTGAGGGTTTTCCATTCCACACCCCTTCCAAACCTAATTGCGAGCCAATCTCCGAGGGCAAAGGCTAGCTGCGCCCAAACAAATTCGGAACTCCAAATTCGGCCCTTTCTACAAAAATAGTGCTGGAATCGTTTGGGGCACATTTTGCGACTCAGTTTGATTGGGGGAACGGATGCCTGTGCCTGGAAGTAAGTGAGGAAGCGATTCCTACCAAAGGCACTTCTCCCCTAGATATAGCGAGGTAAGCAAAGCATCCTGCTAACCACTCCTGTCGTGCAGAAATGCCTGTGCTTTAGAGGGACACATGTCCCCTGCCAACACTTCTTCTACCAGATACACATTCATACGCAACCGAAGTCTGAGTTCCATAATTTACCAACTTTTCGAAATCGTCAAGATGAAGCCAGCAATGCGTGCTAACCATCCAGGCTTCACGAGGTTGTCATGACTTCCCTCAGTCCATACCCCTCTCCAGCCCAAGGCTCTGGACATTCAAGTCATACCGCCTGCCGTGTCCAGAAGGTCTTAGGCCGCCTATGTAATCGTCATGTACCCCTACATCTACCCTTTGAATGCGCTTCCCCAACCTGGCTAGGACTGGTTTTTATATCCTCGCCTCCCCGGGCTTCTTCGGCTCCTTCACGGCCTTTCGACCTTCAGACGGGAGAAGGTGTTCAGGCTATAGCGTTTTTTTGGGATCTTCTGGGTTCAACGAGCTGGGGTTTGGGTTCAAGACTCTCCCCTTCATAATCTCCAAGCCCCCCCCCAATGCCGCATGCCCAAGGCCTGCAGCGCGTGACGCTGCGCTCCTTGTCGGGGTTATCTCGCCTGCGATCGTCTCTGGGTTTATGCTATAGGGATGAGGATTCTGGACTTGCACCTGGGTGCTGAGAGCGCAACAACATAGTTTTGTTAGGGGTGGCAGGGTCCAGGGTGTGGAATCCAGGGTGTGAAAGCGCCTGTCTAAAAATGCGTGTTGGGGGGTTGGATGGCCTCGGACTGGACTGCGGTTTCCTCACACTTGCGCCTTCCTATCCTTGTCGGGATAGTCGGATCACGGCACTGCCATAGGTCCTCTAAACCCAACCATGAAGTTTGAGCTAGCCGATTACGATGCTTTTGTGTAATAATCAGGGGTATAGCACCTGATGATCAAGTTAGGGTAGGGCATCCGCCTTTTCCCCTGCTACGCCCCAACGCCTTACACGATAAATCCCTGTATCCCACCCTACACTTCACAACTTTACCACCGAAAAACCCCAATTTTGACATCCCCACCTCACACAATTTAACTAACAATAAATCCCAAATTTCGGAAATCTGAGTTCCGAATCAACTTTCCGAACTACCCCCTAACTCCTAAATCGGTTTTTGAATTGATAATGCCCCCTCACCCAATTTCCTAGCCTATCTCACCCTACAACTCCTTGCTAAATTTCTTGCTTGGGAAACCTGCAAGCGCCCGATCACGAACCCTGAAATCCCTGAAACGAATCCAAACATGCTGACATCCCCAGGGGCCCTGTAGATTCCCTAAGCCAGAAATCCCGAAACGCAGGCACTCGCCGGATGCTACACATCCATCTCTGGCCCTAGCGGCATGTTGGCTTCAAGCCTCACGGTGAGACAGCACTGTCTGTCACACGCATTCCGGTAGTGCTTCGCAAGAAAGCTTCCACGCCAATGGGGCTTTGCGCAAAAACTTCACTTCTGCTTCGGTGAGCGCTTCTTCTTCAGCATCGTCATCCCCGCCATTAGGCAAAGCGCCCAAGTGCTTGTGTGGAAGAATTCGGCAAGCCCGAATTCGCAGATTGAACCAGTGCACAACTCCATGGATACTCAGCTTGAAATACTTGTCGGAGCCATCTGAGCACCATTTAGGTGGTCTGTCAATGCTGGCGACTTTGACATCCGCCATATTCGCCAGACTCTTGACCTCATGCACCACGGTTGCTTTCGTGATGCAGTTGTAGGCTGCCTTCGTTTTGGTTCCGGCCCGGTCAATGAGGGTCAGTGGCTCGTCTTTCTCGTAGTCGAACTCATGCGCCCGCAAATTTTGAGCAGCTTTCTTCAACTGTTTCGGGAACTTCTTCACGATGGTGAGATAGTCTCCGCTTTTGTAAGCGCCATCGCTGTCCTTCTTCAGCCCATGCTTAGCGCAAACATCGGCGACGAAGCCCCGCGCAATCTCCCGAGCGGCGTCTCCGCGACAAAGGACGTAGGCAAAAAAAGGATGGTCACACTCGTCTGGTTTCGGAAAGGCTCCAGGGTCGAAGTCCACCGACGGCAAGACGGCAACCATGTTTGAAGTGTCTTCGTCATGCTCTGGCAGTTGGTTGTTGTCATACATGCTGTGCAATGCCTTAGCCAAGTGCCAACAGCTGGGCTTACCCCGTAGACACTCTTCCGAAACCCACACAGACACGGCTTTCGTTTTGCCATAGGTCCTCCAAAGCGCACGTTTCCAGATCGGCCGCAGTTTGGGGGCTGCTGGAGCTTCAGCATGTGCTGCTTCACATGCTTGCACGATCAGACCGCCCACGGGAGCACCAACTTTCGCAGATGCTTCCAAAGCAGCTTTCGTAAATTCGCTGCGCTTTGAGACTGATGTTTCAATCTTTGGCGTCCCTGCTTTGGACTTTACCGTCTTTGCCTTCTTTTTCTTCAGCATCTTCATCTTCTTCATGTCTTGCCAGTCATTGCGGGCTTCATGGCTTTCTTACTCGGCAGTGCTAATAAACGAACGCAAGTCCCGAACAGGAACAAGTTGAATTGAAAGATGTAGCAGCAGCCTGCTAAAACGGTCTGTGTCTCTACCTGTCTCTCGGCATAGAGGCTGCGAGCAAAAAAAAACAATGTCTAAAGCACGGCTTCAGCTTTAGAGTTTAGGGTTTTGAGGGGGTTAGAGTTCTCGGGAAAAGCTGACTTTCTTACGCTGAATAACGCCCCTCTCAACAAAAAAAATCGGAAAATATTTCAATAAAGGATAGAGTTTTATTGAAATATTTTTCGGCTCGAATAATACTTTACTATGATCCGTAGACGGTTTCGCGATATAACTTTTGTAATTCTTTCAGATGGGTTTTTTTCATGGCAGGGTCGCCTCTGGCGGAAACCCAGGCATTATAACTACCCCTATATTTTCTGTAAGTGGCATTGCTTATTGCTTTTTT